GTTCGCTGCTGCCTTCCGAGGTGAGGGCGGTGAGCCGGCCAGTTGTTGTTGTAGCCACTGCTTCTGCTTGCCCAGCACATGCAGGGTGAGAGGACAGACTGTGGTCCCTTCCATGACTTTTAGGACTTGCTGTCGCAGAGGAGTGAGCTCAGAAGCCAGGCTGTGTGCCTGATATTAAAAGCGATTAACCTTAATCCACCGGGAATGTTTATTGTGCAGATAAGTCACATAAGGCAAAGGCTACTTTCGTCAGCTGGTTCTCAGTTCAGTATTTGGGGTAAATGAAATTTCTTGTTTTATGTTTACATTTCCTTTGTATTCTTTAAGTACATCTCATGATTAAACAAAGGACTAAAAAAGTAATCTCAATCTTCCCAGGCCTCTGGACTGACTGGTACAGAGGCGTTCTGCTGCTCAGTGTACATTTACTGTTTTTGGAAAACAAACCAGCTGAGTGCAGCCAGAGCCCAGCCCTGGTGCTGTGGGCCATGTCATGTGCACTCAGAACCTAGAATAACATCCACAGGGTGGAGGTTCACTGATTTGATTCTGTTTTGTCTAGAGTGCCTTGACTTTGTAGAGAAATAAAGCACTTATGGTTGCCATAGTTCCTTTTAAAGCTTATATGCTACTTAGGAAAACCAAGGAAACTGGGTGTGATCACGCATGCCTGTAATCCCAGCACACAGGAGGCTGTGGCAGGAGGATTGCCAAGTTTTTGAGGCCAGGGCCTCATCCTGTCTCAAAGGACTACATCCTGTCTCCAAAAAACCAAAAAGAAAAACCAAGTATTTCCTGCTTCTAGGCAGCTAAGCACCTGATGTCTGAGTATGAAGCTCTTACATTTTCTTTACAAATCACAAACTTGAAAGAAATTGCTACCATTACTAGACTACAGAGATCCCTAATTCTGTACAGAATGAGAATTTTCCGTCAGTTTAGATTTTACGATGAGTATTTCCAGGTGGTAGGAGACATTGTGTACATGTGTGTCCAGGCGTCCTGGTGCTGAACGTAGTGATGGGGTTGACTGTCCTAGGTACAGGTGGCCGTGAACAGATGGCAGTGACCCCCTGAGATCATACACTTTTACTGTTAGAGCCTGATTTTTAGTGGTAGTTGCATGACTCTGCTGCATGGTGCTGGAGCACAGACAGTACAGGTGACCGCGGGTTGCTGTGGAGGGAGGCGCTGTGTGGTGCTGACTCTGCCTTCTGCGCCCACTGCACACATCAGTGGGGTCGAGACTCGGTGTAGCACATGTTACATGTGCTTGTGCAGCGTGGGGAGTAAGGTACAGCATTAGTGATAGTAGTATTCAGCCTACCCACCTGTCCCCATTCCTGTGCAGAGAGTTTATTGCTGTTAAACTAACAGGTAAATTTGCCTACTTAGCTATTAAACTCAGGTTTCTTGTGTTGTTTTATTTTAATATTATAATAAAAATATCTGAAAAATACAGGAAGTTTTGTTACTTATATACATTAGCTGTATTATTACAGCGAATCCCTGAAATTTGCAGGAATTATGTTGCTAGAGCACCTGCGAATTGTAAAAAACTGCAAAGTTCAAATTTAGTTAGAAAATGCCTATAAAATGCCTATTTTATACTTTTAACTCTATGCTACAGTTATATTATTTAATATAATAAAATACTGTATTGATAAAGCCTTAGAAGGTATAGGGCATTGTGGCCGCATCTTAGTGACCCTAAGGCTTTCAGAAGAGCAAAGCCGAAAGCACTCCTAGCTGCATGCAGTACAGCACCTGTTATGATACGGAAGACGGGTGCATCTGGGAGGTGAGTTACAGGGCACAGCCAATCAGCAGCAAGGAGAACTGAGTAACATCTCAGATTGGCTACTTGCAACCCTCCTGCCTGAGGTGGGATACTTGAGGTGGAGGGGTATTTGCAGCTTCCATGAAATTGCAGGGGTTTCCGTGAGCAGTTAGTTATTAGTTAGCTTCTAAAGAAAAATCTACCAGTGACAGGCCGCGGACTCTGAACTGTGACTTCATGGGGGTATACTGTATTTTATGTGTGGCCCAAGACAGTCCTTCTGCCCTTAGTGTGGGCCAGGCAAGCCAAAATGTTGGGCACACTTACTGAACAAAGGTGGATCTAGGGCCACATGCTTTATATCTGCACGTGTGTATTTACATGTGTGGCCACGTGCATTGGAATACTACATGTATTCACCTAAGTAAATACATATGTCCTTGAAGGCAAACATTTTTGTATCAGTTTTCTTTGGCCCAATGGCTTTCAAAACTGTGAACTTGTGCCAGAGTAGAGGGTTTTGGATAGTGGCCCCTGAGGTGACATCCACAGCTCCTTGTCTCTGGAGACAGTGAAGAGCTCCGTAGGCCCCATGGTGAGGATCAGGTCAGTTGGAAAGGCTTTCTCCAGAAGGACAGACCTTCCTGTGGCACTGGCTGCTTTTACTACCACAGACAGTCGGCCGGTGGCTGTTCTACTTCTTCCAAATTTGGCACATATTTTTGAAAACAGAACTTGGTGTAAGTAGTGCTGGGCTTAGCAGCTGTCCCTCCCCGAGGAGGCAGTGTGGAATCCTCAGCCTTCCCCTTCTCTGGTCTGAGGCCCTAATCCGTTCTGCGGGGAAGGCAGAGGTAGGGACTCCCAAGTCCCATAAGAGGGGACCGGGTATTCTAGGTGCACCGATAGGTGAAATGAAGCGCGTCAGGAACGCTGCAGCTTGGCTGTGGCTACTGTCGACCACTTGGGACAGTTGTGGCCACCTCCCTCATTCTTTCTGCTATGAAACGGATGGGAAAGCACTTGCTGTGACCGTGCCGCTAAGCAGGAACACAGAGGAGGACCGCTTCCTTAGCGTCCGGGAGGGCTGCTTCATGCTCCCCTGCTGTCACAGCTGGCGAGGACCCTGCTGTCTTGGGCAGTCCCGGCAGACATCTCCCTCCTCCCAGCCATCTGTCTTCCTGAGCACCCTGTGACCCTCCTTGGCTTAGCTTCTCCCGGCTGAGGGACAAAGGACCCCTCCACCCCTGGGCGCCATTCGAGGTCTTGCAGGTCTGGCCCCTTCGCCTTGTGTGTCACTGGCTGCCGTGTGCGCCCTGCGCAGCAGCTAGCTGACCTATACCGCTGTTGTGGAAGGGCCCCAGCCCTTAAAGGGGACCTTTAAGTCAGCTCTGCCGACGCTTTCCTAATAATGCTGTATGCAAAGACGTGAAATACACTTGCGGCTCAGCATCACTGACATGCTTATTACATGTTGGACTGTGCTCTTTCTCTGGAAGGACACTGAGTCTACTTTCTCTAGGAAGAATGTGTGTTGTAGTTACCTATTGCCAGGTAACAAATCACCCCAGCAGACACTCATTACACGCAATGTCTGCAGATCAGGAGTCAGTTTAGCTGGCCTGGGTGTTCTGGCTCAGGGCCCTCTGGTGGTCACTGTCCTGTCCCTCTGAGGCAGGACGGTGAGGATTTGCTTCTGGGCTCACCCGTGTAGGTGCTGCAGTTCAGATTCGCTCCAGCTGCTGGTGCTGAGCGCCTCAGTCCATCTCTCCCACCTAGACTTGCTGTTAGTGCCTCATTTCAGGGCAGCTGTCTCTCTAGAGCAAATAACCCCGGGAAAGGGAGAACAGGACTGAGGCAGCATCTTGTCTACCTGCTGTCAGTGACACAGCATCACTCCTGCCGTGTTGTGGTGGCCGCACAGTCCGGCCCTGGTATGTGCGGGTGAGCAACCTGGGAACTGTGAGGCCCGGGAAGGCTGGGGCCACATCTGCTCTGACTGGGATTTTCAGAGACGTGGTGGACATGAAATGGACAAAGTCATTAGAAAGCAAAGTTGAGATCTGGGGGGCACAATTGTACTCACTGGTTTTACTTTTATTTATTATTCTTTACTTCTCTGGGATGGAACTCAGGGCCTTTGCACAGAGCTACATCCCCTCCCGTATCTATGTCTCTCTCTCTCTCTCTCTCTCTATATAGGGATTTTCAGAGACGTGGTGGACATGAAATGGACAAAGTCATTAGAAAGCAAAGTTGAGATCTGGGGGGCACAATTGTACTCACTGGTTTTACTTTTATTTATTATTCTTTACTTCTCTGGGATGGAACTCAGGGCCTTTGCACAGAGCTACATCCCCTCCCGTATCTATGTCTCTCTCTCTCTCTCTCTCTCTATATATATAT